AAAGAAATAGATATCAAAGATTTATTCCTGCTGATATAAAATATTATCTTAGTCGTATCACGAAAAAATCTATACAGCAGAGTTTGTGAGCCTGCGACGCCGCGTTCTCCGTGACTATGTTAATTTTATGAACTTTGCTTTTTTAATTAAATGTCAATTTAACGTCGGTATTTAATTTCATAGTATTGTTATCTTATCGTACGATCTATGTGTTTTTAGTACAAAAGATTTAGTTGTTCCGTAGCAACGCACGGGCACGCTACCTAGTTAACATATATGAACTGAGTGTAGCTCAACTGATTAGATCCTTTATTATGGTGTAATGTATCTACTCAGGTTATTAAGTCCTTGACTTGATGCAATATTGGTGCTATCCTCTCAGTGGTAGGTGATGTCACTATTCGTCTACACTGCCGTTTAGCCTGTTTACACTGAGCGACGTACCTAACTGAAGCATCTGCTTAAGGCAGTCCCAATGGGACATTAATGGTGGCTTCTATCCCTATTAAATGAGATGCACATAAGCCAAATGCTGACATGGCAAGCTAATTAACGAGGAAAGAGATAAAAATTTGTAGAAATCGTTTCCTGAGAGAGAAACGGCATCTTCTCTTCACCCAACGCAGAAAGAAACGACGAGTTCACCATTGGGAAGAAACCACCGGTTTCTTGCAGGCAGCGTAGGCTGCGCCCGCTCACGCTGGACGTGCTGCGCCGGGCCACCGCGCTCGCCCCGCTCGGTCACGCTGCTGCGCCCCCTCGCCTTTGCTCTCCCCGGCGGCCTCCTCTGCCCCCTCCTCGTCTGTGCTTGTGCTTGGTCCTAGGGAAGAAGAGAAGATGCTAGTCTGAGGGGAGTACAGTCGGGGGAAGATGGTGTTAGGAGAGAGAAAGAGGAAAAAAGGCAACATTTATTATAGGTAGACACCCCCAATGAGCCTGTTCGCTGGTTGGTTTCTGGGCTCATAAGCTCAGCTGGTGCTGGTTTGTTGTGAGAGAAAAACATTGTTGGCTAGCTGATAAGCCCTGACTGAAACAAACAAGCGATCGAGCTGAATGTGTGGGGTAGTTTCTGCGTGTAGTTTGTTGCTGATGTTGTTACTATGAAAACATGCGTAGTTTTTATTATTGAGACTGCCCTTAATCTTTGGAGGGGTTCGAGGGGCTCCTAGAAAAAGGATGCATATATGAGTGTTTAGTTTTGTACCGTTATTCACAAGACAGATGGGGCGTCATATGTGGTCTGTTTGGTTGGGTGGCCAACCCTTGGCCTAGTCTGTTGGAGCCAACTTGGGCTTGTTTGGTTCCCTGTTCTTGGGCTTTAGCCAGGCCAAAACTGGCCTCCATACGTGCGCTGGCCTGGCTCTGAAAGAACGGATCGGTGATCCGTTTTCATGGGGCCTAGCTTGGCCAGCGCTCGGCGTGGATTCGCGTCACCTCCAGATCGGACGAGGATGGCCCCCACGAGAGCTCCCCCCGTGCTCCCGCCGGCCACCGCCACGCGAGCTCCGACGAGGTCAACATAGATGTCCGCCAGCGGCCACCACTCCAACCAAGCTCCCATCGGCTCCGTCAGGACACGAGCTTCGGCCCGTGCTCTCGCGGCCACCACTGCTCCGGCGAAGCTCCGACCATACTCCGCCACCACGTGAGCTCCTCCTCTTCCCTCAGCCACCACAGCGTGCTTCGCCGACGGCTACAAACCCCCCCCCCCAGTCCGCTCATGCACCTGCTACAAGAACGGCAACGGCAACTACGAGTACTTCCTCAAGGGCTCCTCGCTCCTCCTCTTCCCTCAGCCATCGGCACCGCACTAGGACACCTCCTCCTTCACCTTCAGCCAGGACAAGAGGGCCAGCCGCCACCGATAGAACTGGAGCATTAGACATGGAGGCGAGCTCGTTACAGGTGATGCCCACCAAGTGTTTGATAGAATGTGCGATAGGGGGTGAAGTTATTAGGAAGAATATAAGGTGATTCTATGCAAGCCAAGTCAGGGAAACAAACACACCCATTCTAATCTAGGCTTAGATAGTCTATGCAACAAAACAAGTGCATGTTGACTTGCTAGGACCAGGACAAGCCTAGTCAGGCTTCAATTCTAGACAGGCTTCCATGGAGACAGGGAACCAAACAGACCCATAATGTTATTGTCTAGAAGATGTTAATTAATAAATACATATGACATAATTTTCTTTTTGACGAAATTGGAGGGGCTTGCACCCTGCAGAAATCTATTAGAAAGTCAAAGCTAGAAGGCAGGTACAAAAAAAGAAACAAGAAAACAGCAACAAAAGACCTAAGAAACAAAGAACTTCAGGAAAAAATAAGGAAAACCACAAAAATTACCATATGACATAATTTAGTTGCGCATATTATTGAACGCATGTGGCAGGTTTCAATTCTATTTTTCGAGACAAGCTAGAAAAAAGGTACCAATGTTAGGAGATGAAAGTCAAATTGACGAGGCAGTGACGTAGAATAAGGCTCTTTGGTGAATTGAATTTTATCTATCGTAGAAATTAAATTGGTGATATATTTTTCTTTTTTTCTTAGGAATGGTCCAATACAAACCCCTTCTTAATATAATTGGAACTTATTCAATTATACTTGCTAAAAAAATTATCCATTCATATACTTAGGACAAACGATTTTATGTGTTTTTTTCCGCACGGAAATAATCTTGTCTTGCCCCGGAAAATGATTGGTACTGTGCTCCAAAATTGAAATAAAAACAGCTTGAAAAATATCTAAAGCCAGCTGAAAAGTGGAAAAGGACACCGTTAATCCAGCACGGAATATTTCCCAGACCTTGTAGATAAGGCTACACTCACTGATCACACGTTCCTGCAGGAACTGGCAGGCATGGCGGGCTTCTGCACTCCTGCTGCCACTGCAGCTGCCCATGCCACTCCAACCCCTCTGGCCAGCTCAAGGAAGCACATCGTCGTGTGCCTCTCCCCCAAGCCAAGCGGCGGCGGAAGCAAGAGGGTGCGGCTTGCGAGTACAGGCGCAGCTCCTCATCAGGTGCGCGCGCTGGCGCCGGCGACCGCGGCGGAAGAAGCGGCGGGGCCCTCCCCCGCCCCTCTCAACGTGGAGTACCTGGCCGCCGAGTTCGCCGGCCACGGCGTGAGCTTCGAGCCCGTGGGCAGCAGCTGCGCCGTCAAGATGGCGCTGCGCAACGGCAGCGTGGCGCACGTGCTGCTCCCCAGCGGGCTCGTCACGTCCTACAAGCCCGCCATGTGGCACGGCACGGTCACGGAGGTGCTCCACACGAACGTCGCCGAGGGCCCCGGCGGGCGGGCCGTCATCCGCGGCGGCGTGTCCGTGGACCTCCGTTGCGCTGGCGGCGACGGCGTGTGGTCGCCGAGTGCGAGCGGGGCGTGGTCGCTCCGCGACGTCCGGGGAAACCCAACCACCTCCATCGAGGTACGTCAGAACAGATAAGGCTCCCAAGCTTCGGAAATTAAAGGCCATTCGTCATGGCACGTCGCGTTTCCTTGCAGATCGAGCTCGCGTCGGCAGCGCCGGGGAACGCGGCCGCGGCGAGGTGCGTGGTGACGCTGCACCCGGAGGCGCTGGCCACGGAGCTCGCGGTGACGAACGGCGCGTCGTCGCCGATGGCACTGACGTGCGCCGTGCCTAGCCACCTGCGCGTGAGCACCCCGGACGCCACCTACGCCCTGGGGCTCCTGGGCTCCGACTACCGCAGCGTGGAGCCGGCGCTGTCGGAGTTCAGCATCATCCCTCCGGACTACGGGGCCGCGCAGCAGTCCGCAGAAGGGACGACAGCCCGGCACCGGTGGGCAAACAGAGGCTTGGACATGATCCTCTCGGGCGGGCAGGACCGTGGCGCGGCGGACGAGCCCGACGGCGAGGAGGACGACGACTACAAGCACATTTCGGATGCGATGTGCCGTGTGTACAGCAACGCGCCCAAGGAATTCACCATCATCGACAGGGTAAAAGCCTTCGGAGATTGGCCATTCTCTGGTTTATTCAGTTGACTAGAAATTCTGGACCGGGTGACTGATGCGAGCTTTTGCGCGGGAACCGCTTGCAGGGCAGGAGGAACTCCGTTAGCTTGCACAGGAAGGGGTTCGAGGAGCTGTACGTCTTCAGCCCGGGATCCCAGTACCAGTGGTACGGCAAATATGCCTACGTGGTCGTAGGGCCTGCCATGCTGGAGCCTGTGATGCTGGGGCCCGGAGACACGTGGCAGGGGGCTCATTTCCTGCGCAACCCCAATCTTTAGGCATGCTAGCTGGGAGAACTGATGACCCTGGACACGTCACATGTTCGTCGTGTACGTGTATCCAGATCAGCAGATGAGGCCAGGCGAGACGCAAAATAATTGGAAATCCAAATAATTAGCGACCACAATGGTCTACAGATGTTGGAAATGCTATCCATAGTGAATTGCAGATGACATTGTTCAATATTAGAATTATTGGTCCCCATAAATAAAAAAGAATTATTGGTCGATGTCGAATGCGATAATGCAAGGTGACCCGCGACCGAACAGCATCAATGAACACCACCACAACGTTAATTTCACATCAGACCTGATTGACTAGCAACCATCTGTGTCAGATGAAACAAAAACATATATATTGATCAGTAAAGTATCGAGATAGCAGCATTTGCTTCAGTTCAAACTTCTCTACGTCAGTACGTTCCTACTTCACCTAAAACCAGTGCATGCGAAAGACGCATCACAGGATGTTAACTGTGAAATTTAACTGCCAAGTGCCAACCATGGAAAACATACATAAGAGACATATCTATCACCTCTGCAGTTTCACAATAAACAATTTTCGTAGTGCCCTCTGAGATAATCACTTTCTCTAAAAATTAGATACGAGAAAAGAAACACTACTTCAAATTTCTATTTTTCAACCCTCAGCAACCTCCGTCCATCCAAGAATGCCAACTCCTCTTTGTAATACCAATACTCTACATAACTGCTCTACCCAAGCCATTCAAGCCTTTGAATCTTACAATCAATCATCGCCACCTCCATCGTCAGCATCCATAGCAGCATCATCGTCATCCCCTGCATCTGCATGGTCGGCAGCATCATCGACATTCATGAGCTCCTGCCTTACAACTTCTTGATTGATTTCTTCCAGTACTTGAGCATTCGGCACTGGCAGAGGATACTTTTCCACCTTCATAGCCTTCAGGTTATCCTCTCCAAAGAATGTGGTGAATGGCTTCGGGACCTGCAAAATGTGCATAGTGTGACCCATCCAGATGCTGTGTACTCTTTCATGCTAAGGAAACAAGATAGCAAGTCACAAACACACCTTGAAGAAGCGGTTTCGCTCCTTGGCACTCTCGACAAGGTTGTTCCAGTGTTTATCTTGCTTCAATGTTGAAGCAGAACCTACAACCTGCGGCATGCAGATTATTATTTAGATTTACAACTAAGTACTCCCTCCAATCACAAATATAAGCACATTGAGATTTCTCCTAAGTTTTTTTTAACTTTGACCATCAACTAACATTTTATATGGACTGACAACACAAGATTGGCATTACTCACACACACACAGCTCCTTCCAAAAGAGAATAGATTTTGCCAGTCAAAGTGTCATATTGGAGACTTGTCTGTTCTAAATTTATAATGGACTTACAATAGTGATTGGAGGAAGTATATATAAAACATGAACAAATAGCGGTACAAGTGGGGGGGTATGGGTGTCCACATGTCAGTTAAATCTTGAAGACTGGATGGAGCCGTGAAGTTACATCAGGACATTGATCTCAAAAAGGCATTCTACCATTCATCTTAGATACCATAACTATAAGCAGCATCCTTGAACAATCGTATCTACTTGCATGTATGGATGCATGAGAGAATCTCAAACTTTATGTGTACATCTTGTTAGGCAACAGAGTTCCTTATTAAATTTATAGCCTGCACCTGCCTCTACCTCTCAGTTCAGACTAGAGTGCATATTTGAATTCTGTGTCATGCAAACAATGGAAACTTTGAAGCTACCATAATGCAAAAACAAAATAGTAATGATGAAATTTGAAACATGGAGAACAGGAGCTTACCAGTACAGCAGATTTTGCTCTCGTGATGGCAACATTCATTCGTCGAAAATCAGAAACAAAGCCAATCTTTTGCTCCTCATTGCATCTTACACATGAAAAAATTACTATTTCTTTTTCACGTCCCTACATACAAGCAGTCGGACATAACATCAAATCATAGTGGTCACAAAAAGAGCGAGAAAGAGATATAACATCATAATCACTGGTACTTGCAAGAGTATTGAGGCATAGAGGTGATTTGTACAGAAATCCCAAAATGCATTTGAACTAGTACCTGAAATCCATCAACGGTGCTTACATCTATCAATTCCTTTGATTGATCCCCAAAGGTTGATCGAAAACTGTCCTTCAATAGTTTTACTTGATGCCTGTATGGTGATATAACACCCACTTCAGGACTAGATTTGAGTTCTGGATAGCGCATTGCCAATTGGTGATACAGGAGAGTTATGAATTCCACTTCATCCTGGTTTACCCAAGAACCACTTCCAGATGGCTGGGATTCAATACCATCAACATCAAAGAAACAAAATGGTCCAAAGCAGCTGTAGGAATGCCATGGACGTTTCCTGCTGAGGCCCTCCCCATCTTGAAGTACACCTTCATAAAATTCTTTTGAAGGGAACATACTAATCTGTATGGGAATAGATAATGAATTACAACAATCATTCCAGTTTCCAGCTTCAGATATGCTGAAGATATGAGATTCACCTCTGGGTGCATGCGATATTGGATTTTAAGCATTTGCACCGGAAAACCAGCAGCTTGAAATCTTTTGAACAAGCTTGTTCCATATCTGAGAGATAAATGAGCATTGTCTTAGCATATTACAGCACCTGGAAAATGTGTGCCGGTATAAAAAGAAGATCATCTTACCCCAACTTCTGAGCAGTCTGTGAAATGACAGTTGCAGGCAACTGAACTGGGTCACCAACCTGATAGGAATATTATGAGATAGTTATCATTACCAAAAGCTAAAGTGATTGTATTCATGTGCACAGATTAACCTGATAGGGATATATTATGAGATATACAGTCAAGAGAAATGGTGAGACTGCGCAAACATGCACACCAACAAATGAAAGTATACTTTTAACGTAAGCCCAGATAGACAAGTGCTACTATAGGTACTAAAGAGAAGAGAAAATATTCAAAATATCACCTGGGCCTGACCTCTGTCACATAACAAGGTACTATATAAATAAATAGGAAAGACCCTATAAGTTCAGACAATATGCTACATTCTATGATATCCTATTCAATCCCCCGGTTAGCATGCGATGCTCGTCGTGCTAATAAATCCTCTCTTCTTAAAGCCCAAGTAGGACAAATATACATCTTGCACAGGGGAAAGCAAGATGCTTAAAGAAAAGAAAAAACAAAACAATATACAAAAAATGAGAAAATTAGACAATACAAGAAAAATTTGTCTGCAGCCATGGATCAATGGAATAAGAGTTGCAGGTTCCACCTGAAAAGAAGGGGATAAGTCTAAGCTTAGGAACTTAATTAAACAGAGGCACAGAAAATTCTATTATCCAAATTGATAACGTCAATGCTCCATGATGAAAGCAATGTTTAAAAGTTTCCTCACCGCTTGTGCAGCTTCATCAATTATAACAACATCAAAAGCACGGGTCATCCTGCTAAAAATTGAGGATCCACTGAAACTCAGAGTAGAAAATACCTACAAATTTTGCTTGAAAGTGAGAATACTAAAATAGGTATAATCACCAAACATTTATAATTAATCAGAAGAGTACAATGGCTGCTTCGTCCAGTATTGAAGCTCTAATCCGATCATATTCACCAGCACCTCTTCTCCCACCATCTAATGTGCGATCTACACCAGAAAGTTTTTGTTGAATCTGCAAGGTTGAAATCATTGTAGTTGACAGAAGTTATAAAGAAAATGTATTGCAACTTTATGTCACTTACAAGGTAATCCATGGAAACTGCTTTAACAGAATGAAGGGCCTTCACTCCAATGCGCACAATTTTAGGGTTGTAAGTGTTGTTATTTTCATCTCGGATTCCTGAAACAAAAAAAAAACATCATTTCATTACTTAATTTGTGCATGATGAGCACACCAGATGCACAAAAAGAAAAACAGAGAGAGAAGGGTTGGGGAGCATTGTGTCTGTACTGGATATTTAGCACCGAAAACCTCTACCTGTCTTAAGAACACGCAACACGATCTCATCAAGTGCTGAGTTGGATGGAGCACAGACCAACACATGGGCCCGATACTTGCGATTGGAACTTACGACTTCAGGTTTCTGTAAAGATTTTTTTTTGGCCATGTAAGGGATAAAATAGTCCAGGAACCTGAGTAAAATTTAGCAAGTATGCCATATAAAAGAGTACCAGTTCATTTCCTGTTGGGTAAAATCCATCATCACCATCAACAGGCATAATCAAATCTCGAGGATTTGCACCAAGTAACCAAGGAGATGCCTTCATCCAGTGTGCACGCCTGTCATGTGAACTCCCCAGTTATTGGTGCCGACAGAAATTTGCAGTCGCATGGTGTTTGAAAAACTAGAATCAGTAATCCATCAAAATAACATAAAATTCTTAGCTGTTCCACTTCCCACACAGAAGAGCTAGAAAATAAAAAGGCTACAAAATATGGTACCATAAACAAAACAACCTTTTCCTCCAAGTACTCCCTAGTTCTTTTGGAGGATTTGAGATATCAAAGGAACAAAAGCAATGTCAAAACTAAGATATTTTATTTTTCTAGTAACCAACACATAACCATGCAGATCTATAAGAGAAACCAGTTAAGGATGGAGCATTTCAAAGGGAAACTCACAATTTGAAGCAGCTAGATTTATTAATCAGCTTTATATCCTTCCCATTTTCCATACCCCAGCCCAAAGTCAAATAAATATATTAGAAACTAGGAGGTCTGCATTCTTAACATACTTGCCATCAATGTCCAGTTCTGGCCCATGCTTTAGAACATCAAGTCCTCCTCTGCATTAAGCATCATAAAGCACATGAGATGCATGCGCGAAATTTAAAGGGCGTACCCAGTGCAGAGAGCTCCCGCTCTGTGCGGGGTCTGGGGAAGGGTGTCAGTGGCAAGCCTTACCCTCACCTGTGCAATGCGAGGAGACTGCGACTCGAACCCAGGACCTTCCGGTCACAGGCGGTAAGACTACCGCTTGCACCAAGCCCGCCCTTCATGCGCGAAATTTAAGATTTCAAAAAATGCAGTATAATTACTATCTCTCATATATGATAAACATGGAGCTTTTCTATCCTCACAATTGGAATTACTATTCCATACACCAAAATATAAAGAATAAACAAGTGAGTTTGTTACTTGATCTGCATTCTTGCAGGAGCAGAATGGAGAACAGCACTAAGGAGTCCAAGAATAGTTTGTGTCTTTCCTGTTCCTGGAGGGCCCTGCAAATAAGCAGATAGAACTTAGAAGAACATAAATCAGCAAATCACGCATTACTCTTAAACAGTGTTATGTGTTCGATCTGCACATCATTCAAAAGAAAAACATATAGTTAAAACAGCTCAGGTATTTGCAATACTTTCACATAACTAATCAAGACAGGTAAACAATAACAATGCAAATTAATAGTGGTAAAAAAATAACAGACCTGAATAAGGACAAAGGATCTGCGTGAAAGACCTGCCTAGAGAAAAAATCAGTAACTATCAGAGCCATGATTTTAAATAAATATTAGGAACACAATACATACACCAACAATGCGAAAATCACAAAGGATGCTCACATTGACTGCTTCTAGCTGGGAATCGTTAAGATTTGTTTTGAGGTAATCCATAAGTGGCTCAGGAACATTCCACGCACGACTTTGATCATCACCATCCTTGTGCTTCTCAGTAGCTGAAAGAATCAAATCCTTAAAAGGTAGAGAAGCTACAGAATGCATAGCTGTGAACTCCCGCATTATTGTAGACAAGCTGCAGACCTGAAAATTTAGACGAGAAAATGGCATATCAAGCAGTACATGCCGTCAGTAAACGATGCAACCATGAAAAACTCAGGTGCTTGTTTTAGAACAATTGAGACTCGCCTTCAGTATCCACAGCAAGCTGTTTTGACTTGCAATGGTGGAAGCAAAATGTTGCAGCCTTGTAGAGTTCACAGGCTTTGCAACATTCAGATTTACAATTTCACCTGCCACAAAGGTTCTAAGCGAAATATGTAAGCCACCACCACGCTGTTCCACCAATGCAAAGGCGTATGCATTAGGGGTTGATCCCTCCTCAAACTGCAAAAGTGCAGGCACATCAGTTCATCGCATAATGTACTCGGCTACAGGCTACTTGCCAGATTGATTTATTTCAGTATCGTTCATCACATAATGTACTCGGCTACAGACTACTTGCCAGACTGATCTAAGTATGATATCACAGCCATAACTTATGGCACATTTTGCTCTGTTCTTAGACAAAATGTCCAAAATGTAAGAACTAAGAACTCAGGAAATACATCTAGATATTTTATGGGTTTCGGTTATTAAATATTATGCAAATGGCCACCTACCAAATAAAAGGTTGACACATTTCGTCCCAATCAATCATTACCTTGGTATTTTCATATCAGGACCAGCTAAAGTACAAAATTTACTTGCACAACACTTACTTTCTCCTTGGAGAGAAGCAGTAGGTCATTCTCTGACACATTATCCTGAAAATTGTCTTCCACCGCCACAGAGAGCTTGTGGAACCCCTCGGACTCTGTGCAAGATCCCACTGCCCCCCTCCACCAGTCCATCCCAGATTCTACACACACCACACAAGGTCAAAACATAAATTAAAAAAATCCCAATTGGCAACTCACCAGCGAAATAAGAGCAAGCAACATGCTGCGTTGAAAAAGAAGCAAAGCGCAGGAGCGTGCGCCCTAACCTTCCTCCTCGTCACTGCGTCCCTGGATGATCTGCGCCTTGACCTCCTCGAAGAGCAGTGGCTCAAAGACACCGAGGTACTCGGCCACCGAGTCGTACGTGTTCTTCACACGCTGCAGCACCTTGGCCTGCTTGCCGCCCTGACCCCCGAGCCAGAGAAGGTTAGGGATTTAGAAAATTTTGTTATGGATGGTATGGCGGGCGGGTGGTGGGTGTGGTGAGGTTGATGTGCGTACCTTGGATTCAGTGATGAGGCGGAGGTAATCCCAGCTTAGGACAATCTTTTGGAAACGGTCCATGGTGGAGGAAGTTGGCGTGCCGCCGCTGGACTTCTCCACCATCATTGGAAGGGCGGCCACTGGTGTACCTAGAATTTTAGTTAGGTTATGCCATGCCAAGACTCTTAACATAATAACTCCACGAATATCTGGTAAAGAATTATTAAATTTGCTGAGCGATTCAACAAAAAAAATACCAAAAACGCAAGGCATCAGCAATCAACAGTGCATCAAAGACCAAAGAGGGGAGGCAGTAAATCATTTAATAACTAGTTTGAAGTCTGTACTTCTATATATAATTTGTATACTGCTGAGCATCAGCAATCAACAATGAAGTCTGAAACAATTACCAAAGAGGAGCGGCTGTACATCAGTTTGTTAACATTGCATTTCTTTTCTACACTATAGTCTGTACTATTGTACATCAACCAGCAAGTGGTTCACATAAATACATAAAATTTCTCCACATCACATTTTCATCCCATATCTACAGACCAAAGTGGCAAATAGGAGAGGCAGCCGGAGTGCCAGATAGACACAGGAGCTATGTTGCTTCAATACTTATGATATGTCATGTGTAACGGACACCCGAATATGCAAATTCTCCACACACACACACACACACACACACACACACACAAATGATACAGGGATATAGCTAGGATCTTTTAGCGATAATAATTAAATCAAATAAAATAGTAGCAGCGACTATTCAAGAACTTAATAATACCACAGTACAAGTACATTACAGATAAGAATTGAATTGCTAACTCAGTTAAAGGCATAGTCATAGATCACGTTGCCAGTTACCATTCACCACACACACAGTAACAAACAACACAAAAGAAGATAACTACCGACATCAGACCGGAGCGCTGCTGCCGGGGGCGGACCCAGTAAAGGGACATGGGTGTACACATGTACACCCGATGGTTTTTTGCAAAAAGTTGGAAGGTAGTAGGAATCAAATAGCCAAAGCTCAATTTCGCACAGCAACCAGGGAAGAGAAGGGGTGGGAATACCTGGTGGGTGCTCGTCGCCGGCGAAGAGACCACCGAATGCCTCGGCACCTGGCGTAGGGCAGCGGCGGCGGCGGTAGCCCTGCCTCGGCTCCTGGCGTAGGGCAGCGGCGGCAGCGAGGGCGGGTTGGGCTACGGAGAACTGATGCGGCGGCGGCGGTAGCTTTGTTCGGCCCAGGCGGAGGGGGGCGCGGGGGGCGGGAGCGAACGCGGGGTGGGCTACGGAGAACTGATGCGGCGGCGGCGGTAGCTTTGTTCGGCCCAGGCGGAGCGCAACCGGACGGCCTTCTCCTTCTACGCATTATATATTTTTTTAATTTTTATTTCTTTCTGTTTCTCAAAAACAAATATTTCTTTCTTTTTTTAAGGCAATATATTTTTATTTTTTTTTCTTTCTTTCTTTTAAGGCAAAGGGGCCGTGCTTGCCTTTTCACGCGCGTGGGCTATATTTTTTTATTACACAATATAACGCAGACGATTACAATGCACACACACTCATCACTTATGAAAGTGCGCACGCAATCCCTACCCCTATGAGCACCGCACGTGGGCTATATATTTTTTAGATTACACAATCTAACACAGGTGATTACAATGCACGCACACTCACCACCTATGAACGCACGCACGCAATATTTACCCCTATGAGCACCTTCGAAGACTGGGCTGGCAAGTCCTCGATACAAGATTAACGAAGTCACCATAGGCGTTTCACTATCGATAGAAATGTCACCTACCACTGAAAGCATAAAGCCGTAAAATTTTGAAATATTCGCTTCCATGAGGAGTCGAACCTAGGACCTCAGCTGTTACTAAAGTTCTGGTAACCACTAAACTACAAGCCTTTCGCGGTTGGATGGCTATATTGTGTTTGAGTCATGTTTAGTTGGCTACTCAAGTCATCTAGATAGATCTAGTAGGTAATATAAAAAGGAAGTAACTAGCCAAGCTTAAAGGAAAAGCAGAGGAGGTTCGTTTTAGCTTGGCTAGTTGCTAGCGATTCATCGGCCTAGGTTGATGTAACTTCTCATCTTTTTCTCTGGTTCATTCAATACCGTCGTAAAGCAAAGGACAAGAGCGAGGAGGATGACAGCCACATAGAAGCGCGCGACAAGGAGGACTCCTACCACGATGTTGTCGATGTGGGACGCCACCCTCTCTAGCTAAAGTCCACCTCGCCCCACATGAGCCGGTAGTAGACATGAGCCGGTGGCACGGGGTAGTGGCGGGCTCACGCTAGGACACGAGAGACAGCGCGCGTCAACACAGGAGGCAGGAGGGGCATGTCTGCATCGCAGTGGCGTGAGACGGAGGCAAGTTCGAGCGATGATGGCATGACCATGCGAGACAGCGACAAAGATGACAAACCAAGACGAATGTGGTTGAGGTAAGGTCACCATAGCAAAAGAAGAGGTAACAGTCAGATAAACCAGCAACCAAACAAGAATTTAGTTAATACAGGCTTAGTTAGCACATGACAACCAAACAAATATATATGTTGATTAACTTGGACCTACCAAAGTAGCCTGCTAGCCAGGCTTGCTAGAGAAACACACCCTTCGTCATTTTGGCACCCTTCCCTACCCACCCCTTCCTCAAGTCTATGGCTATCACTCGTCCTCTGCCGGCCTCAAGTGGAGTCCGGTGAGACCTTCAGCAAGTTAGTGCTTAGGGTTTTGATTTATGTGTTTTGTATCATCCAAAAGAGGCCTTTAGGAAGACTGGTAGAAGGCAATAGTGTCGATCAAGATGGCGATAAGGGCAAGGCAGCGTAAACGCCACCACCAGGCGGAGGGAGAGGACTGTGCTGATGATAAAGGCACCGACTTGAGAGCAAGAGAGCAGATGGATGTTAAAATTAGGACAAATGCAATCATGGGCGGTGCGGAGGCGGCATTTTACTACCGAAGCACAGAGCCGGACGTCGGGGCACTGGGTTTAGGCCCTGTTTCCGCTCCTTGATTCTCCTTTGGAGTAATTCCATTGAATTCTTAGAAGGGAGCAGGGTGGGGAGCTGCTGATCCCCAGTAGAATATAATAGGGAGCAGGGTGAATCATGTTTTTTTTAGCTCCCACCATCTGTGTAAATGAAGAAGCGATTCTCTTCTAATCCCCACTTGAATCAGTTGACATTTTGAGCATTTGTCTGGTTAGGAATGATTCTATTCGGAGATGCTGAAGTTGGAGCTCTCCTGAACGGCCCCTTACACCTAATTTGGAAGCTCTAATCCCTTCAGGATCCCGGACTTTTCTCTTTGTGGGTAATCTATGAGGATATTATTCTAATTATCACTTTAGTTTTTAGTGGAGGGTTTTTCAGCTCACGCTTGCTTCCAAAAGAGCCCTTAGAGTTGGGACTAGAGTGGCTACTGGAACTCGGAGCCGGGCGCCGGATTTAGAGTTGGGAGTGGCCACGGCCCACGGGCGATGGCGAAGGCATCATCAGCGGGAGACTGCGAGCTGCGGCAGGGGAACAGTGAGACAATGGAGGGTTGCCAAAATTAGATATTTTTTCCAATTTTTTGTGTGTGCGTAGTCTAATGCATGGCCAGTCGTATGCATTAGCTGTGTCCAGATCGCAGGTTACTTAAAAATGGTGTGAAACAGGATAACATGGTCGCACAAGTAGCAATGCTGGAAATGCTGGCAACGATGTTCAATAATAAGATCTTGCTCGATGTCAAATGTGATAATGCTAAATTGCTCAATGTCGAAAGAACAATATCACAACTACAAACATTTCTGAATCTGACCATAAGTTATTCCAAGCAAGGAAAATCAATGCCAAGTATATACATCTCCAAGAGATGATGGACAAGTCTCTAATGTTAAACTCACTCTAGGCAACAACTCCGAGCGACCAAGTTGTGACAAGTTCTTCACACAGGACAACCTCGGATTGAAGATCCTGCATGTTGAGCAAAACGATTATTCCAGGTTCCATTCGCGCCCACGGCCTTGGTGCTGTTGAGCAAAGATGCACTAGTTACGAGAGAAAAATGAGTTTCCTAAAGCGAATGAAAAAACAAGTTTATCAGCTTGCCGCCTCAGACAAGATCATGGAACAATTGGTTTCTTCTCTGGCTTTCAATAGTAATATGTTAGTAGGATTGTAAAAGAGATCTTGTAGAACGCTCCCCTAATATTAAGCTGCCCGAGCTCAGTTGATCAAGGGTGCAGATGCGAATTTGGGTGCGAGTCCTCTTAAATGTGAATTTGGGTGCCTCTATTTTCTTCATAATAAAATGCCACATAGTTCCTCCTAGGTTGGTCTGGTTTTTTAGAACATTCACCTAATAGCTTTTGTTGGCAATCACAGTAAATATCATGCATGTCTGCAATATACAATATTGGGATCGAGCTCGGAACGATGATATATGATAGATTAAGGCTAGCACCAATTAAAGAAAAGCTTGTCCAACACCGGTTGAGATGGTTTAGACATGTCCAACGGAGATCTCTAGAGGCACCGATGCGTATTGGACTCCTAAGCCAGGATAGTAACGTGAAGAGAGGCAGATGAAGACCGAAGTTGACTTGGATAGAGGCAATAAAAGGAGACTTGAAAGGATGAAATATACCCAAAGACTTAGCCTTAGATAGAAGTGCTTGAAAAACAGCTATTCACGTGCCTGAACCTTGATTGCTTCTGCTGGGTTTCAACTCTAGACTACATCAACTTGTTTAGGACTTAAAGGCTTTGTTGTTGTCATCGTCATCTGCAATATACAATATAATATGCACGATGCATGCTAGTTTATAATTGCAATTTCTCGACGGGAAGAATCTCTAGTCATGTTTAATTCTGCCACCCCACCAAGCTGTAGGTAGCTTCGTCAGTGCACCACTAATCCCCATGCATTTTGGAGTTTTTTCTCGAACAAAGGAGAGCTACGTGTCATTTCATTTAAGAAAATTAGTATATATACGTGCAAATAGACATGGAAAAATGTGAGGAGCCACTGCATTTTGGAGTTTTTTTTTTGAACAACGCATGAGAGCTGCATGTCATTTCATTTAATAAAAAAAATTAGTAAAAGGAGAGATCAAGAGGCCTCTCCAAGACCAACCCCTTACCTTACATTAGCACCTATTACAAAACTTTGGAGTTAATGTGAACAGCTAATATTTAAATGACAATTTCCTTTTGTAATGAGGAAAGGCTGTACAAAAGGAATGGCTTAACATGGTTTTAAAAATTACTATGTCCTATATTGACAAAGGACTCGGTTTTATAAAATTCAGATTTCTGGAAATCAATAGTGGTTACTAGCATCATCATACCTACTTGGAGAACCTTTTACTGAAGATTCCTGCATGTTGGGCAAAACCATTTCCCCTTGAATCTCGTTTCTGGTGTCAGACCCACACACGTGTAATGGAACCATTCACCTCCTTCACACTGTAGCATCAAGGTGAAACAGTTAGCATCTATAAGAGATAGGTTGCTCTCACACAAAAAAGAAATTTTGTATTGTAACATAACAAGCTTTGGTGTTTCTAATGTGATGGTTCAACACAACTGTGGATTCGAATCATAACATTTGTTCGTCAGAAACCTTTCTTTAGTAATGATGTTTGGAAATCATACTTATTATAGTGCAGGCTTTAGCACGATCACAAAGAGTCATACACCATGCATGTAAGCATATGACCATGAATTGTTGACAAAAAATATTCAGATACACCATGTAGGTTCTTTAACTGGTTTACAAAGAATTATTTGTTTCTCTATTTTCCAGTGAAAAACAAGGCGCGATTCCGCGCTCGCCTAAGGCGCGACTAGGCGCTAGGCGGAGGCCTCCCGCGGGGCCTAGGGGGTGAGGCGGCATCTACGCGGTGGGCGCGCGCGTTGGCGGAGGAGGCGGCGCCTGGGCGGGATGCGCGCGCGTTTTGGCGGGCAGGAGAGCGCGCGCGCGAGCGGGCGGCTGCGCGGGAAAGAAAGCGGCGGCGCGGGAAGGATCGATTCGCCGGCCACGGTACGTCTCCGGCCGATTCGTCGTGCGCGAAGCTTGTACTTGACGCCGTGGACCCATTTTCCGCATCACCGGCCATCTTCTCCCTCCGTGCAGGCCTCGTCGCGCCGCCTCCGTCCGCCGGCCCGCCGCCGCCCCTGGAGCTCCCGTGCGCCCCCTCCTCGCCGGGCCGCCACTGCTGGTGAGCTCCACGCCTCACCTGCCTCGCTGCCCCTCGCCCCGCCTCTCGGGAACCCCAAGGTGAGGTCCGCCCGCCCCCTGCTCCTCTGCTCGGCTGCTCCTTTCTATCTTCCTGCTCTGTACGCGTAGAAAACGCCTAGGCACGCCTAGGCGCTAGGCGATGGGTCACCGCCTAGAAACTGCCTAGCGCCTAAAAAAACATTGCTATTTTCTTTCTTCGAAGGTGTATACATTGATATTAAGTAATAACAGTTTATCAAACATCAAATATTGGCAATGCTCAACGACGTAAGATGGCCAATGTATCAAGCAAACCAATTGAACAGGGTTTTCTTTTTGCTGTGCACAATGGCAACAGAAGAAAACTACAAACTTGAAGATAAGATCATAGATTATCAGTCAAGCTGCAACAAAGCATAATGAATGCTACATTCTGTTGTTTGAAATGGGAAAAAGGAAATCCTAAAATCACAGCAAAGATCTAAAGCTTATCCTCTGATTAGACTAAAACGTAAAGGAAACTATAAGTTTACTCTGAAAGATAACTCATGAGGCATGATTATTTGGCACCAAGATGACTTACATTCTCATTGTCACAAGCAATCATGTCACCATATGAAATCTGAAATAGCAATAACAAAGAAATCTTATTCAGAAAGTGATTGCGACATAAAAATTGTTTCATGCAAATAAGTTTCAGGAAATATTAACACATTATCTTCAAAACTGACCTGGTGGCATATACAGTATGTCGGTTCATTTGGGTCAATTGTTTGATCCACATCCATAGATGTACCTGCTTTCTTGCTGCTACCTGGAGGGGGCATTAAGTCAAAGTCCATACCCCTTTCCCTGTCCCATTCCCTCTCTCTAAATTTCTTTGATGCTTGAGGCGTACTAAAACCAAACCTCCTTTTCTCATCCCTGCTAACCACCTGAACTAGAGGAAGGACTGTAGGTTCATCTGAAGGTATCTTCCCTTCTGCAATTAAAATAGAAAAAAATAAAAATCTGTTTGACGAAGATTTAAGGATGGCAGCCCACAATAATGCCTAGCATCTGCCACGACTGCTAATACCATGCTTTAAATCTTCTGCAAACTGGCCCAAGTCTTCATCAAGGCGTTTTATATGGCTCTCTATCTGTACAATAATGCACAAGGTGCTTGCGATTAGATATCCACGCAAAGCCAGTGACACTGAATAAATGGTAAGACTATAGAAGTTGGTATTTCATTTCTAGATTGATCCACATTCACTAAAATCTCTTTACTTAAAGTGGGCGTAACACCTGTTAGGCTTCTAATATAAACATCTAATCTTAGATATATGGAGGCATATCAAACAATATAAATCGTATCAGGCTCTTCACATTCAAATTCAATTTCTTCTTGCTGACCATTATCTAGTAGCAACTCAGAACATATCAATGACTGCAAAGACTTGACCCTAGAATTAGTTTAAAGTTTGTATAACATTACAAATGCATACTCTCATAATGCTTTTTGGATTTCAGATAAAAAAAGTTGGACCTGACCGTAGAATAGAAACGAAACAGCAACTAAGATAGTTATTAAATATGAAATAAACTTATTGTTGCACTAGGTGAGCATTTAAAATTGAAAAGAACTCATACCATAAGTTTCTTTAACCTAGGACCACAGGGAAAGAACAGAAAGAAGCAGTACCAGGTCATAAGCTTGGCGCGCCAGTAAGACTTTCTCGGTGCAAAGATTCAGAGCATTGTCCTGGCTAGCTTCAATGTCCTTCTTCATCCTCTCTGACTCATCATCATCCATGTTTGACCTGTCATACCCATGGGATGATACTCCCAGAATATACTTTATCTGTTCTTTGGTCTGACCCATAATGCCTGAAACGCAAAATCGCATAGGCAAAAACAATTATCCACTCATCATCACATCACGAAAATGCCAACTTAGCATCAACTGACACTAAAAGAAATTGTCTACATATTCCGTCCCGAAAAGAGTGGCTACAGTTCTAAGTCAGACCATATTTAAATTGAGCAAAAATTGTACACTAAACTAGTATCCCTAAGATTTATGACATCAAATAGGTATCATTATTCATCATGTAACATATTTTCATAGCTCAGTTGTTGATACTATTTTCTACAAACTTAGTCAAATTTAAATTAGCCTGACTTAGACAACAGGCAAACATATAAGCTATGCAAAACTTCGAACTGGTATCCTTATATACTCCCTCCGTTCCAAATAATAAGTCGCTTTGATTTTTTTGGTTCATCCATTTTGCTATGTATCTAGACATATTATTATGGCCTTGTTTAGTTCCTCCCCCTAAAGTTTAGTCCCTATCACATCGGATGTTTAGACACATGCATGGAGTATTAAATATAGACTAAAAAATAACTAATTGCACAGATTGCAACTACTTTGCGAGACGAATTTTTTAAGCCTAATTAGTCCATGATTTGACAACGTGGTGCTACAGTAACATGTGCTATGATAGATTAATTAGCTTAATAAATTTGTCTCACGGATTACCAAGGATTTGTGTAATTTGTTTTATTATTACTATCCGAACACTACCACGTGACACCCCTAAACTTTGGCCCCTGGATTTAAACACCACCAATATCTAGATGCATAGCAAAATGGACGTAGCAAAAAAAAAAGTTAAAGCTGACTAAAAAAGTCAAAGCTGACTTGTAATTTCGAACCGAGTGAGTATATACTGAGAAAAACAGAAATGGGGAAGAAATCATCACCATGTGCCCTGTCATCGAGCTCGCGCATGGTGGAGAGAATCCTCTGCAGGTCGCCGGCCAGGGTGCTCGAGTCTGCACGATTCCAAACACAAAATAAACTGGTACGGACGAACAATCGGAGGGGGTAGCAAACTCAATAATCCGTGAAATAGGGGCGCGTAAGTCTAACACTCGAGGTAGTCGTCGACGTACACGCCGGTCCGAGCGATCGCCATGCCTGTCTACGATTGCTCCCGGATTCCGCGTCTCCGGACAGGGTTCGATGGATCGATGCCTCGATTTGGGGAACTAGGGGTGGAGAGACGCACCGTAACGGGACGGAACGGCCCTCTTCTCGCTGGCGTTTGGATGAGGGGAGAAGTGGGATGGGCTCGTCCCACAGGCGAATATCCACCGTAGATGCGGGACGGGTCAGACCGCACAAAACGAAGGGACGGGGTCGTCCCGCTTGCAGGGCGTGAAGCGCCGTCTCCCGAGAGGACGAGCTCGAGAACAGCGTGGCGGTCTCCGGCGAAGGTGTGGGAGCGCAGGGCCAAGGGGGCGTGGACGAGCTCCGGTGAGGGCGCTGAATCGACCTTCGACCGCTGGCTCAGGGAAACGCAAACAGGCAGCGACTCGGGGAAGCGCTGGGGAGCGAAAGCGTGGACCGGCACAGGGAAGCTCGAGCGGCCGGCGACGACGGCGCGGGGAGGCCCCAGCGACCGAGTGGGCTGTGGGCGGCGGCGGATCTACCCGCGCGAGGTCACGATACGCGAGAAGATAGGCCGTGGGGAAAAAAGGAGTTCACGAAGTGGGTTGAAGGTAATGGAACATGGCCCAATAGTCACCGGGCCAACAAATCGTTTTCAGGGAAGCAGCAGGCCATCAGGGAGTCATCGACCGTCAGACGTCAGATCAACCTCACCTTACAGCATGTGTTCTTGGATGTTGATGAGTCAAGCCCTGGGTTTGTAATTGTAACTGAACTCTTGTATGGAGATTTGCCTAAGTCTAGTGCTTAATGTTACTGAGAATTCAAAAAAATTAACTCACCTTACCCAATTTGTTGCCGGTGCATTGCAACGGAAATTATGTTTATCATTATACGGTCATCTAGACAATTTGCAGACCCAAGAATGATCACGGTCATGCATTTCAATTCATCCTACAGTCACACTCCACAATATGCTTGAACGTGTGCCACTCTAATTCATATGTGCACGAGAAGTTTGAAGTTTTATTGGTGACCGTCAGCCTGTTCGGGAGGCCGTATCGTATCGTGGATTATTTACTGCTGGCTGGTTTGATGTGAGAGAAAAATATTGTTCTCGACTGGAAATTTACGATCGTTTACGAGCGAGCGAACAGGCTGCGTGTCATGCACTTCAATTTATTTCAGAATCAGACTCTCCATGATGCCCAAGTATGTTGCTCTAACTCATATAGTACGGAATTGAATGAAAGACCATACAAACAAATGAGTTTAATACTATATATAACTAGCAAACGTGTTGCAAGGTGATGTGAATGTACATGTCGTGTGGTCACTTGATTCTGTCGAGCCAATTATAATAAGTTATTTCCTCTGTTCCTAAATAAATTAATTTCTAAAATCCGTGCCGGTCAAATTTTTGTAAGTTTGACTAACTTTATAAAAAAAAGTAACAACATCTATGACATAAAATGAGTACATTATGAAAATATATTCTATGGTATATCTAATGATACTAGTTTGATATCATAAATCTTGATGTTTTTCCTAGAAATTCGGTTGAAGTTTAAAAATTTTGACTAAGGACAACTTTAGGAATCTATTTATTCAGGGATAGAGGGAGTAGCTATCTTTTGTTCATTTAGTTGAGTTTAGCCCAACCTATTCCAATTGAATCAAATAAATTCCAAATTTCATAACAAATGTTAGATGCAAAACCAAAGAATGTCGCCATTAAATTAATAGTATTGATCTAGGAAATGTAAGTATAGTGCCAAATTAAGGACTTAATAAACCGAGTGAGCATATTCTAAGGAAGAAAAATATCCATAAAAGTCGTCAACTCTGAAAGGAGAACCGGCACAAAGTTTTTCTCATCCTAAAGGCTAAAACCCCCTAGGAACAGAGATCTTACGGAAAATGCCTCGAGATATGGTGCTAACTGTAACAGAACCGACCAATTATACGAAATTAAGTAAAAAAATCATCCGCCAGAGCAGACGATTGAGCAAACTTAAGCCCGTATAACCCGGTAGTCCATGAAATCACGAAGGATTTCAAACCAACTTCCATTCCAGTCAAGATCGTAATAAGTTTAGCGGTCACCATCACATATTACATAAAAGTTCGCAATCTCAGATACATCAGAGTTTAAACATAGTTATTACAAAACCAGTTCGAATAAAAGTAGCGGAAGCCATTTGTTCAAACCACACACACTCACGTGGAGTTCAAATATAGTGCCAGCGAATGATCATCTCCAACAAAAGCATTAGACGAGACGTAAGGAATGACCATGCCCATGGTCCTAAGCATCACCCATCGCAGGATACAGGCAGTTGGTACAGTAGCCGTAATACATCTGTCCATCTGCAACAAGTGGGAATAAAACCCTGAGTACGAGAAGGTACTCAGCTAGACTTACCCGACATAACCGAAAATAAATGACACCAAGGATTATGAAGGGCTTTATAGTAGGGTAGCTAACTCATTTGCAAAAGAAGCATTGTTAGCATTTCAAGAACCTTTCTAAAAGCATTATTGCCAAGTTAATTATTATGAACCTGTCGACTAGATTTGCACCTATACTAGAGTAAACATGTGATTAAGCAGATAATGATAACCAATGATCATTAAACAACTTCCATACTGTCATATTTATTATAACCATCCAAGTGTTACATAAACATTTACTACGATGAAGTAACTCAAGTCAAGTGCTCACTATCCAGGAGCGATGGCGATTCGAATCGATTTCTAACCAGCTGGTGATTTATTCCTTACACAAACCTCACTCACCCGCTAAAGTGAGATATTGATCACCGAGTCAACTTTCCAGGTATCTCGAGTTTGCCAGGAACCACATGTACCCGGAGGCCGACCGACTGCACTTTGGTCTTATCATCCCGCCCCCGTGTTCTACCACACCTGCTTCGGCACAGTGCGCTGCGGGCAATCTACTCGGCCCGAAAAATCTCCCAGCTTCGCGGTCGGAAGGTACTTTATCCGGCCAGCTAAATGTAAGGCATGCGTTCAACATGACTCGAGGCCCAACAACGGTCGGTCCTTAATCAACACAGACGGAAACACTACAGTCCAAAACTCTGCAAGTCTCCATCCGGTCTCAACTTCATTTAACACTTAGTTATACCATGACTTCATAGTCATCCAAGCAGATCCAGGTAACCACCTATAGCTCGCAGGTGACAGGAAATCACCCGACTTCTACCGGTCTAAGCCAGCTAAGCATTGACTCGACTGCGGATACCAGGGTAACAAGGATATTGTAACACCCCGGTGTTATGCCTACATTTAGGCACTGCAAATCATGCATAGCATGCATCATCAAGCATCCAAAGCATACATGCTTAATCGTGTGAATAACAATTGAAACATTGCTTTGAAACATCTGAAACATGTTGTGAAACCTGAATGTTGCATACCTTTGTTAGAATTGTTTTGCCCTAATTTTGCTTGCTAGGTTAGTAGAACTTGTTTGGTTATGATTGTAAATCATCTAGAATTGTTTATCACAATTTTTGGAGCAAGGTTTGTATTTGAATTATTGCCAAATTTTGCTTTAAAAATAATTCTCCAAAAATTAGGGTTTGAGTCAAAATTGACTTTAATTTTATAATTCAAAATCTACAATAAATTGGACGTTGGTCTTAAAATCAAAGTTGTAGAGGATAAAATTTTGAGCAACTTTTATTTTTGGTCCAAAGTTTGAAACTGCTTTGATTTAGTCCAAAAATTCGTTTGAATGAAAAAGGAATTCAAATTAATTTGAAAAATCTTGTTTTTACCTTCGTGGGCCTTGCGCCTCACTTCCCGGCTTAGTTCGCAAGCCGGCCCGGCCTAGCTCGGCCTCCTCCCCTCAAGGCCTGTGTGTGCGGCCCCGACCAGCGCTCAAGCGATGGCCACTGCGTGGCGATCCGTCGTCGGCGGCGCCGCTGCCGGGTGGCGCTCCTGCTGGTCCCCACCGCTTCGCCTCGCTTAAGCTCCCCGGCCGCCCGCTTCTCTCCACTCGCCTCATTCCGCTCGCTCCCTCCTACTCAAGAAGAAGCAGGCGGCAGTCTGGGCGGCTGACTCAGCGCCCAGCATTGCATCGCCCCGCGTTCCACCCACCACCGCACCATTCCCGCCTTCTCGCGCCACAAGCATTGCCATCTCGCGCCCGCATTGTTGACCCGCTTCGCCTCATGAATCGACCGGAGGTGAGGCCTCGCTTGAGTTTTCCTTCACGCCGTCACTCACGGAGCTCGGCCGCGCGGCGCAGACGCCTCCGGGCCAGCCACTGCTCCGCCTTCCTCTCTTCCTATTTTTCAGCGCTTGACCGTGTGCCGCCTGCATAATGGCGGCTTCGGCCACGAGCCAAAGTCGCCGCTCCGGCCACCTTTGCGCCGGAACAGGCCCGCACCGCCACCCTGCAGCGCCACCGCGCGCCATGACCATCGGTCACCTCGCTCTGGGGGTCCTCTGGCCGCGCAAGTAGCACCAGCAGGTGCGCCTCCCCTTGTGGAGTCCGTAGGTAGCAACCACACCGCCGGCGACCTCACCGTCGGTGAAAATCCGGCCGGGCAAGGCCATCCCCTGCCTCCGGTCGGCTGACCAGTGGGGCCGGGTGACCCACTGGGTCCCGCCTGTCTGTCTCTCTGGCGCGGGTTGTGGGTGGATAACCGGGTGAATCTAGCAGATTTGAGCATGAAGTTTAAAAGTATTTCAAAAATGATTTTTCAGAATCCTATTTAAATGCTTTAGAAAATGTTTGTGTACTCCTTTTTGCTCCAAATTTGTTGAAACAAATTTTGCTAGATTTCTTATCAGCAGATCTACTTGGGAAAATTATTGCATGACATTTTTGGAATACTTTTCTGTAGGATTTTATTTAATCATGTATATTGCTGATAACTTGAAAAATATGTAGAAAAATCTATAGGCTTCAGAAAAATATGATTCTAAGTTTGTTAATCTTCTTATGTCATTTACTTCCTAGGAAAAATATGTTTCATGCATGTGCTGTGG